TGTACATAACGATATAATTGTGCGATTTCTAGAAACGCAATTATCCTTTAACTGGCTATATATGTAATTGTCTAAAACAACATCATGGTATTAAGAAATGGGTTATACGGTGCGCAGAAAAATAATATTCAAACTCTAACACTTGTTTATTCTTGTCCGTTTCGTAGTCGACTTAAAGTAGCGATAATCGGTGTATGCAAGAAGTTAAGACTCAATGTCAGTGCTTTTGTGAGGGGTGGGAGGTATGGTCTAGCGATGTTGAGCCCTCTCACTACACCGATCTCTAGGCTAGCCAGTGCCTGGATTAAATAAAGCAAAATTCATTATAAAATCAATTACATGTAAGGAAGATATGCAGCCGGGCTGTAAGAGCCCATGTATGTCGCAACCAACCTCTGTTCACCGATGAGCAAGACACAATCACAAACAAAGACCAATATACGAAGTAAACTTGGCAGTGTGAAGTTAGCTCGATTTTCGTTTAACGAAAAATAACTAGCTCATTTTTCGATATTGGCGAATCTCGAAAAACGAATATTCAGGCTTGAATCACAAAAAAGCAGATTTGATGGATGTATAACGAACTAAAGATATCATAAATGAGGATGCCTGAGCAGTGGATTCACATAAAAAAGCTCTCGGTTTTCGATATTCAGGCTTGAATCATGTATATCTACAGAATGTCTCCAAAACATTTTTGATTAAATCAGTGTTCTAAACCGAAGTAAATATATCGTAAAAGAGGATGCCTGAGCAGTGGATTCACATAAAAACTGCTCTTTCGCCTTGTTTTTTTTATATTGGCGAATCTCGAAAATCTGTATTTTTGAGACTCAAATCTGAATATCGAAAAACGAGTTTTCGAGATTTGCCAATATAAAAAAAAACTAGGAGAAAGAGCAGTTTTTATATGAATCCACTGCTCAGGCATCCTCATCTATGATATCTTTAGTTCGTTTTACAAAGCTGATTTAATCAAATGTTTTTTGGAGATATTCTGTAGATATACATGATTAAAATTTGTATTTTTGAGATTCAAGTTTGAATATCGAAAAACGTGTAGCTCGTTTTTCGAGATTCGCCAATATCAAAAAACAAGGAGAAAGTGCAGTTTTTATGTGAATCCACTGCTCGGGCATCCTCATTTATGATATCTTTAGTTCATTTTACAAAACTGATTTAAACAAAATTAAATGTGTTTTGGAGACATTCTGTAGATATACATGATTAAAATCTGTATTTTTGAGATTCAAGTTTGAATATCGAAAAACGAGTATTCGAGATTCGCCAAAATCAAAAAACAAGGAGATGGTGCAGTTTTTATGTGAATCCACTGCTCGGGCGTCCTCATTTATGATATCTTTAGTTCGGTTTAGAACACTGATTTAATCAAATGTGTTTTGAAGACATTATGTAGATACACATGATTAAAATCTTTTTTTTTTGATATTGAAGCCTGAATATCGAAACACGAGTAGCTCGTTTTTCGAGATTCGCCAATATAAAAAAACAAGGAGAAAGAGCACTGCTCAGGGATCCTCATTTATGATATCTTTAGTTCGTTTTAGAATACTTATTTAATCAAATATGTTTTAGAGACGTTCTGTAGGTATACATCCATCAAATCTGCTTTTTTGCGATTCAATTTTGAACTCGTTTTTCGAGATTTGCCAATATCGAAAAACGAGCTAGTTGTTTTTCGTTATTCGCCAATATCGAAAAACTTCACACTGCCAGTAAACTTTCCGACATGAAGCAATATACGATAGATCTAATCATCATACTCAGAATCGTTTGACTAAGAATTAATGGAGATATTTAGAAATAATAATTGTGTGCACTGTGAACTTTTTAACGCCTTTTTCAATCAATTGACGGGAGGGGGGGGGGGGGGGGGTGGATGGCCGAATGGTTAGCGCGTGCACGTTGTATCATAAGGTCTGTCATTGGGTCAACTGGTGTGGTTTCGATTCCCCGTTTGTACGTGACAAGGAGTAGGGTCGCCTGTCCAACCATGTGGGTTTTCTCCGGGTCCTCCGGTTTCCTCCCACTGCTAAAGACCCGAATTATTGAAATAAAATTGAACCATATATTGTTAGTCCCGAAATGACCTAGTTTGTGTCGAATGGGCGTTAAACCCCATCTCTCTCTCTCTCTCTCCAAAGATCTCGGTTTCTTTCGATATTGTTATGTATTGGAACGAAACCTCATGGATTATCGCCCCTGATTGCACGACATATCCGATTATAATGAAACTTAAGTTACTTAAAATGTATGTTTATAATCCAAAGATCTGGGTTCCGTTCCTTTCGATATTCGCACTTATCGGATCGTATTGAATTTCGTGAAAATCGGACCGAAACTGCCCGACAAAATGGCTGCTCCTTGTACGCGAATAATGTAAAAATATGTAAAGATCTGGTTTCCTTAAATTGATACTTGCGCGTATCAGACCGTAACGTCCTTGATTATGGCCCTTGATTGTACGAAAAATTGCCTTTTTATACGCTCACATTGAAATGTGGTCGTATATTGTCGTCACCCCCGTCCGTCGGTCCGGCGTCCACAATTGCTTGTGGACGCTCTAGAGGCTAAAGTTAATATCCGATTGACTTTAAATTTGATTTTACATTATTTAATAAATAGTGTATAACTAATATATATTTTAATAAATATAGTATAACGCCTGTTATTATTGATGTAGGTGATGCGGTGTAGGATTATCTTCTTAACTTATTTGGTTGTCCCCAGGTAAACAATGTTCATCCCATTTCAAAAGTAACATGTGTCTAAAAGAATTATTGAAATAAAATGCAACTTGCGGTACTACCTCATAGTTACATAGAAGCGCACACACAAAAATTGGGATACAGCGCGCACGCGCTAACCACGAAAAAAACTCATCAAAAATAATGATTAAATTCCAGTCATTATCATGGTTAAAATCACATCAAATAGGCCTATACACCTTCGTGTTCTAGGATACACATAGATTCATAAAAACGCTATAGCACAACATTTCAGCGTGTAAAAGTAGCAAAAAAAAAGACGGTAAAGTGACGACGATGTTATACAGATCATTTCCGTTTGAAAGCTGTTCGATACGTGCTGCCGTATCCGTGTGTCGTATCACGTATGAGAAATACACACACATTGATGACGTCACAAGCAAAGTCTACACGGATACGTGATACAAACCAGGAATTTATGCTTGCCAAAAGTCTCTGTTAATACGCTATTGTTCGTCCTTGGCGGTGATTAATAAAACCCGAAATAGCTATAATATGGCTATTCTCAATAAACCAATTTAGAGTTGTGCGATAGCTCAATGATAAAGACCAATTCAGACCAATTTAAGTTTTATTGTGAATTAAACCACTTTTTAAATACTGAAGAAATTGACATAAACTGTCATCTAAAGAGTCCACGAATAATACGAATTAGAATTCAGTATTGGTTTAGAAGTGAATGATCCGCAAAGGACAAGAGAAAAACATATGTACTCTTGTAGACTGGAATAAACAGACGGGCACAACTACCATTCAATTTGGACTGTCAGGTATTTCACCGATCTTAACTAATTAAATATTACATTAACACATTTTAAAAAGTGAATGTAAATCAGTTTATGTATACATTCAGATCAGATTAATATATGATTTTCGACCCATGCCCGTCTATTTTAAAGATGCCTACCCACGTACACACTGTATGATTTTGATGATGATATATAGACTAAAACAAATTCAAACTAATTCAGCTATCAAACGTTTTCTTCAACCCCCCCCCCAATACATTTTAATCGCAAGAAAACTACCCCGTGCGACAAGAATCTAGTTTAAATCGTCTTGTTTGTCACATGACTTGATAATCCATTTTTAGCTTGTATTTGTCGTTGGTCCTGTCTATTTTCCATAAGTATCGAAGCATAAGTAAATTCCTTGATTATCTTCTGTTAAATTCTTTTTCCACCGGTTAATTACATAATCTACTGGACGTTGAAGTCTCACAACTGTTAGCCATAAGAAAGGCGCATTGTGTCACTCTAGTGGACATGCTGTCGGTTAGTGACACCCTAACATTTTATTCCTGTGGGCGCCTCATGGTTGTTTTCAGAGAATCCAGAAACTTTTCTAATAAGATCGAGTGTCTCTTTCCATACATGCTAAATATAGAAAGTGGAAATAACTACCCTATGAATATTTTAGTTAGAAAGTAGCCGTAAAGTTCCAAAGGACAGTTCTTGGAATCGAATCCTGGTATGTAGCGCCAATGTGTTAATGTATTGTTGAAATTAAAAATTAAACTGAATTGGTTAACATTTTCTGCAGTGTGCTTTCAGTGAATTTTTTCCGGATAACAGCGTTTCCGCTTTGTCTATGTCGAATTCTAGCTGCCAGGGGGTCAGTAACGGGCTGTCCACGGACCTCGGCTTTTTTTTTTTATCACATCCGAACGACTAGACACTTTTCCTTGCTAATAAATTATGGCCAACAATACACCCGTCTGTCTTGTTTTAACCGGATTGGTGCAAAATAGTAGGACGTTAAACCACATTTCATTTAATTTCAGTTTCTATTAATAATAGATCTAAAACATGATACTACCAACGTCAATTTTAGCTTATGTGTAAATTGAGTCGTGTATGTTCCGGCATTCTAACATCATGTATAGACGAAAATTGAATTTTACCAATCACAGCCAGCAATTACGCACGGAATAATGTAAAGTCGTTAGGAATAAAACGTGTGCTCTATCACATAAATTCAACCGAAAGATAGAAAGAGAAGCCGTGGTTGTGATTGTTCGGTCGAGACAATTACTACTATTAGAATGATGTATTGGGTAGTTATCAACAGAATGCTGTTCATTCAGTGTTTGACGGGTGTGTGGTGGCATACTATTTTTACTATAACCCTGTCGTATTACTACACTACAAATAGTAAATCTATCAATCAATGAGCGAGACTCATGTAAGAGACATGTCGCCCAATTTTCACCTATAAGGCTAGTAAGACACATCCTTTCATTGGCCTAGACGTGAAGGTCGTAGGCGTGTCATATGTGACGTCAGATAGTGTGTATAAATTCGAAATTCATTGTTGTGGGATTGTATTGATACTGAAATAGGGAGAAGTGATAAACTGCCACGGAATATAATATAGATTGAGACAGCACTCCTGATATTGTTCACTATTGTGTCAGGTAGGCATATAATATATATATTTTAAATTAATGAACCTGGATTTAATTTCTGCAAAGGGATTGCACATACTTGGAAATAAATAATTGAATTTACGTTTTTATTCTTGCAACTCTGTAAAAATATTAAACTTGCAATCATAAATGGAGATATAAAAAGGTGAACAAAAAAAAACCTAAAAAAAAAACCCAAAAAACATTTATATATCATTTTTAAATTATTAAGAAATAAAGTAGCGATTTCAATCTATGATAAATTTGCATACATTTTAATAGATAATCTTTTTCTTTAAATTTCAGTTTTGGTTTTAGTTGCGTTTAGAATTAAAGATGTTGAGGAAGATATTAGCCGTTTTACTTGTTCTGTCTTACACAAGCTGCTTTACATCAGCCTTTTTAAGGGTAAGTCAATAGTGTTTAAATTTTAAAATAAATTATATATCGTTTCAAATTGATTACTTTTCTTTTGCCAACGATGTTTCATATTCAAAATTCTAAAAGGATTAACCAAGTGCTCTCAGAAAAATATTTCGAAAAGTACGTTACTTTGCTATTTATTCACGCTAGGTAAAAGGTTGTATTCTGTGCGTGCTTTATAGACGTGTGGCCAATTTGCGCAATGGGAATTGAGATTTATCAAATATTTATCTCTTTGATTTAATTATTCACTTGGTGTAAATAGAATTGATGCAATCGTAAAGAAAGCATGATGCAACTACATCAAGGACTATTTTAGGCTGAAAATCGTATGGACGGTACACTTTATAATTTATTCGATTTTGTAACTTAGGTTCTTTGTGGTTAGGATTAGGATTTCGTCAGATTTTATCATATTATCAAATATATTTTTGATAAGAAATATTTGCATATAAAATGAAAAGTGAGGGGGCGAGAATAAATCCTTGCTTGACTCTATATTAACTCAAATTGTTCTAGCTGTAATGCATGTGGCTGACTATTGGAACACGTGCTTATTATATCTCAACCACGTGAAAATTAACTCAACATGCGACAGTCATTTGAGAATTATGATCGAATTACCAAGGTATGTGGTATTTCGGGATAGTTTACAAATAATTAGATGTTTAATATCAAATATATGACAATTTTTAATCGACATTTATACCTATTCGTTTTTAAGTTAATTAAGTAGCCCAGGGCCACGATAATAGTGTATCATTAGAACTTGATCCCATAAATGGGAGTGAAATGATTTGTATTTCCTCTATTTCTGACAGATCAATTTGAGTTACATCCAGGGATTATACCGATATTATACAATGTCGCGCAAATCTGAAACGGATGGATACAATATCAGTTTTCAAAAAGAAATAAAAAAACCTTTTAATTGAATAGATTTGGAATATTCAGTCCCCACTTTTGTACGAGTTTTATTTTTGAACTTTGCGATAACTCGGTGAAGGCTTTGCGATATGTGCATGTATAACCACGTGGTCAATTTTGTGATGTCTCTTTACATCTTCAACAAGACGTAATGTCTATAAATAGAATATCGTTCACTGGCACAGAATGTTGCCAGGGGGGTAACATTGGGGATTGGTGCAATCTTGGGATTCCACACCGTCTCGTAGTAACACGTGTTTCTATATGACCTCACTGACCTTTCCCACGAACATGACGAAACGTGAGATTTTGCTTCTTGTACAGTTTGAATGGATTTGTTTTCATTATTCGTTTGCAGTAGCATACTCGTATTTCGGAAGTACGATGCTTATATTTGAATTTAATAAACGGGTATAAATAAGATATATACTTTTTAAATAGCACTGTTAAAATTTAAATCAAAACTACGCATCCAGGGTCTTTATTTTCATTTCGTATTAAAATGGCGACGATAATGCTGACTGTCCTAAATACGGTTTCACTGCACCGAGGTCATACACCGAGGTCAAAACGAGGTATATTCCAGATTGTTCTATGGGTTTAATGTAATCGTTAGATGTAAAAAATGACACATGCTGGTTATAGGTCGCATCGTGAAAACGTCCAAAACCTAATGGATACATAAAAATTAATATAAAATTAAAATGTGTTAACAGTAGGCCACGGTGTTTAAAGTGTTGCGTTTTTTTCAAAAGCCCAGTGGGTAATGACTTTATGAGTTTAAAAGGCATTAGATAAAGAAAGTGATGCAATCGAAAAATAAGTAGACCTTTTCAATTTTCATTAGTCAACTCAAAGTTACAATTCTCAATAGAAATATATATTTCTGAAATAATTTAATAATGCACCAGCTGTGCCTGGCTTCTAATTTATTAGATGTATATTTTTAAATAATTTACAAAAAAAAGGCATCACAATACGACCTGTGTCTGTCGTGTAATTTATTAAGGAAGATTTCTAAATGTTGCTCCATAAATAAAGAAGTTTATGAAATTCTATTCTCAGTGGGGTTCTGTGACATTTCTTTACATTTTATGTGATATAATCACTTCCGCGTTTGAGGGATATTAGAAACATTATATCGTAATATATTCAAATAACGTCAGACTCGTATAGAATGGAATGGGGTTTAGGTTTCCGTCGACGCTTTACGTAGGTCATTATGAGACCAGCATACCAAATGATTGTTTTATTTGTATGGTTATGTATGCAATGGGCCATCTATTCGTCGAACTGATGGGTTCTTTTACGTGCACGCCAAAGTGTACACACTACACAATGGACCTCATCCATTCGACAAAGCAAAATCTTTACTAATTAGCAACTCCACAGGCGGACCCACGAAGTGTGAAGCGGACATGAAATATCCCTCTGCCCACGCCGAGCCGAGAACACTTAGTAATAGTAGAGCGTCCAGTACCCTTCCAGTGCGACAGATTCACAGAAAATATATTACTTAAACATTAATTGACCATTTTTCTTTGATGTCATGTCACTAAACTCTATATTAGTCGTCAGTTGCATCACGTGATGACGTGTTTCAAATTTTGTAGCAAGTCTCATTTGAGAATGTATATTTCAGTTTCATATTTAGATCACTTAAAATTCATATTTAGTTAGAATATCAAAGTCCGTTCCACGCATCTATTGAACCTTACATAGAATAACTCATAAGCTGCTTCTTTGACGTTAAGGTTCATTAGAAACAAAAATCCCAACGCAGTGACCCCGCTGTAATAAATTAAATAAATTTAAAAATTGTTTAATTGATAAAGGTAAATGTATTCGACAAGATGAGCTAGCAATGATTATGAAACGTACACGTCGATTCGGCTATAATATGTGGATCAATTTGGATTTCGCGTTTTGAAGAAAAGCTTATATAATCATTAAACAGTTTTCCCCCTTTGTTCAAATTATCCCCTCCTCAAAACTCAATTTACTGAAATATTTCTTGATTAGTGTTCAATTCTGCTTAGCTGTAAGAAAATTTGATAGAAACTGAGATTTGTTACAGCCTGGTTATAGTTAATTTAGCCAGCTAGTCAACAGAAATTGAATAGTTTCCCGGAAACATTGAAGTAAGACAACTTTTTGTTCTCTCCTACTAACCCAGTGGGCAATTTGCCAAAACGAATCGTAGTCTACTTTATGTAGGCTATCTCTTTATCGCCAATAAACCACCTTAATATCAACATAGTTTTATTTCTTCAAGGGTGCCCACCGTTAAACTTTTAAGTTCAGTTTTGTACTGGTTTACAAACGCTCGCTCAGGCTCGAGTCTGTACGCTCTTCTGATAATACATTCCATTTATGTTTCTGAATATCAACATAGCAATGTTTGATTTCTTAAACATACATTATGTAAGAGCTAAATCTGCCTATTGCAGGTCTTTCATTAGGCCTGAAATGTTATCTAAATTATTAATTAGACATTAATTAACTTATCAAGACCATAATCAACTCTCGATGGCATTGCTAGCCTGTGGTGTTTATTGGATTACGTTCCGATTTGCTGTTAGACTTCCATTCATAATTGAATCAAAAAATGGATAATCGAGACAATGTTTTATCCTACCGACATTAGCAACGATGATCGAGGCTAGCCCCAATATTCAATCGCTAAAATCTCGGTTCATAGTGGATCAATTTGACTGAAATTTGCAGCAAATTGCCTTTACATTATCTAGTTTTTATACGCCCACATTGAAATGTGGTCGTATATTGTCGTCGCCCCGTCCGTCCGTCGGTCTGGCGTCCACAATTGCTTGTGGATGCTCTAGAGGGTAAAGTTAATATCCTATTGACTTTAAATTGATACACAGTGTTTAAGGTCTTGAGACGAAGAAGCCTATTGATTTTCAGCGATTTCCGATAATTACTGCCAGAGTTATGGTCCTTGATGACTTCAAAAAATCTTGTGGACGCTATAGAGGCCAAAGTTAACATCCGAATGATCTTAAATTTATACACAGTGTTTAAGGTCATGAGACGAAGAAGCCTATTGATTTTCAGCGATTTCCAATAATTACTGCCAGAGTTATGGACCTTGATCACTTCAAAAAATCTTGTGGACGCTCTAGAGGCCAAAGTTAATATCAGATTGACTTTAAATTTATACACAGTGTTTAAGGTCATGAGACGAAGAAGCCTATTGATTTTCAGCGATTTCAGATAATTACTGCCAGAGTTATGGCCCTTAATCACTTTGAAAAATCTTGTGGACGCTCTAGAGGTCAAAGTTAATATCCGATTGACTTTAAATTTATACACAGTGTTTACGGTCATGAGACGAAGAAGCCTTTTGATTTTCAGCGATTTACGATAATTACTCCTACAGTTATGGCCCTTGATCACTTTGAAAAATCGTGTGGCCGCTCAAGAGGCCAAAGTTAATATCCGATTGACTTTAAATTTATAATCAGATTTTAGTGTATTATAAATGTTTCATTACCGAAAATTAAAAATTTGTGACAACTCTTGTTGACTGCCCGGGCGATTTAGCTGCTGTGGGCGTATGTTTCGTTGCCTGGCAACCTATCTTTAACTATTATAATGAGAATTGCCAGCTCTTTAACTAATAATGTATCTTTAAATGGTGAACACCGTTAAACTTTCACTTCGAACATTTAGTGGTTTCAAGGGGTTAGCTCTTAGGTGTAGATTATTTTGATACCACAACCCGTTTACGTTTACTTTGACATATTTAGTTTGAATCGCGTATTCAAATCATGTGAAATGATTGACCAATCCATTTGTTTATATTGACATTGATGTCTGTTGCGATTTATACAAATATATAATTAGAAAGATATATAGTGGTCTTTGAGTTTGCCGTGCACTCGACACTGATCAGTTTAGTCAGGGGCTAACATAAAATTTGCTTCCGCGCTGGAGTCTTTAGAAAATGGAGGAAACCGACAGACGACCTTACTTCTTGTCATTTGCAAACAGGCGAACGAAACCACGATTTACATAAATAACAAACCTTACAGAAG